AATGAACTTTTGTCAAATTTGGAGGTTTTTGTCACTTCGTGAGCAAAGCGACGAAATGGTTTTAACAATTACACTCCGATTCACTTAATTTGCTGCAGATTGTTCCTATATATACGCGCTTCTCCAGTGTCTCCTGAACCTTTTCCCGTCACTGTCGCGCCCGTCTCTGTTGCAAAACTGCTCTCCTCACGTGTCGATTGACTGTTCCATTGTGTCCATGGCTCCCTGACATTGAGAACAAACCGAAAACAAATTAAAAGTAAGAAAAGCAAAACCTCCAAAAAACCCTCAAGAACAAAGATGGTCTGGGCTGAATAAGACAGCTCTAGTTGTACTTTCAGAAACCACCACTTTGTCAGGATTTTGCTTTTAATAAGTTCAGTCTTAACATTATTAAAAGTAACCTGATTATAACTTCTGCAATGCCGAAGAAATTGTGATCCGCAATTAATTTGTATCCTTATACCACCGAATATTTCATTTACTTTGCTTTATGCAATACTTTCCTGATCCCTGAAATTATTAAAGGTGTGCTGTTTCTTGCATTTTATGGGAATACGACAGAATTAACCAGGAGTCCAAACTCATATATTCCTCATTGTGACTGCTTCGAGTATTATGTAGGACTAGTCGTGCTAGTAAATGTACAAAATGTATAATACTTGGATATGACTATGAGCTTAATTTTCTCACCAGCATGGCCAGCTGATCACAAACAAAGCTTATAAGCATGTTAAGCAAATAATGATATCAAACATAAAATGTAGTACAAATGTGACAGAATCTATTCTGTACAAGATACGAATAAAAAAAAGCTGGGTACAAACTTACCAGTAAGGCCTACAACAAACTGTAGGTTTGAAAGAGCAGGGCTCCAGAAACGAAAGGTTCTGTCCAAACTATCTCCCATTCGGCAAAGACCATGGTGCTGCAGGAATAACTCTGACTAATAAGCTGTATATTTTTGTGTGATGCTTTTGGACGCGGATTTGGAACTGAATACAATACAGATAATCAGTGTTTTTTTTTCGAGAAGACGATGTACATTTGTGCCTGCTCCGTCTTTAACAATTTTGAATGAGTAGTAGAACTGAACTGCATGCAGGCTAGCGCAATGTGGCCTAACGGTTTTTCTGGTTGAGGCAAGGTCTTGAATCCCGGGACATACCGTTATTTCGTTTTACCGTTTTGGATTTCCTCAAACAGTAAACGCATTGTTGACCGTTTTTTCGTTTTACAGTTTTGTAAAACGGTCGAACGGTATTAGGTCACAAAAAAACAATGACCTTTTTGTTGTTTTTCTTAATTGTAAAAAGCGATAAACGGTTAGTTGCTTTATTTCAGAGTGTTGTTTTACAAGAACATGACAATGAAAAAACGGTCAGAAGTCCTGTCGACCATTTTTTAGGTTTGTCAATCAAGCAATATAGTACCTTGGAATTTTAACGTGTCCTTGGGATGGAGTCACTGCCTGGGAATTCCGAAAAGTGGGGCAACCATGTCACAAGGAGTCTGGCTTGCCAGAATACTATCGTCATTTGACCGTTGACAACCAGTGGCCCTCCTTACATTTATGTCGCTCTCACAACAAAATTTCCGTATATTGGCTATTGAAGAGCCGCGCCTAACTCCAATTTCCTATAACTTATCTGAAACTTCTTTAACGTCTTTCCCTGCTGTATTCACTCCGAAATTTCCCTCTTGAAATTTTCAAGCGCCATTTTTGCTTGCAATACAAGTTTTAAGCCCCACCAACTAATAAAAATCGAAGTAGATGTGGGACAGGGTCACGCCAAGAATCACACCACGCACTGATATTATACCGATAACTACCGTAACACGTGCACGCGGTAGTCGGTATGGTCCCGGTCCCCCAGTCCTCCACCTCCCTTGCCCACCGCCACAAAATGCGCCACTGACTGTTAACTATATACTGATGATCGTGGGACTGCATAGGAAATAAGGGTTTTTTTACTTGTTTGCGTTATCCCCGCATTTTCCACTGCATGGGGATTTTCTAAGTTTTATTTCAAAAAAATTTTATACGATTTTGGATAAATTTTGATGTGTTTTGTTAAATTTTAACTTATATTCAAACTGTATCATCATTGTGTGGAAAATGCAAATAAATCAAATCAAATCAAATTAAATCATGTGTATGTATATGCATAATGGTGATGTAGTTATGCAATGAGGGTCCCAAATATTCGGAGTAGGGTCAAGGTTTGAACTTGGTGGTACCATAATGGTTCAGCCATGTTAATCACCGTGGAAGACGCGTCAACATGTACCCCTGCACATAAAATTCATCCTGGAATAGGACTATTTTCTGAAAAGTTAGACTCGGAAAGTGTGTATAGAACAGTGTAGCAACGTTTGCGTAATGATGCACTGTAATAAGAAAACATCTTTTTTTGGTTTGTTCATTGTTCTGAAAACCTGCAGCACTTGATGATGAATCAAACTCCGATTGGGTACCAACTCAAAAGATGGGTCACAATCGTCAAGATTTTGTTTTGTTTTCCAGAGCAATAATAACCTCACACATTAAAGAAACTGTGCCATAACTTTCATGTTCACTTCTTTTCAGTTCTATATTTGTATTTAAGTCATTCCATGTTGTGAGAAACTTTCATTTGTAAGGGTTTCTTTCTTATTGGAAATTGTGAGTGGTTCAAGTATTGTAGTGTTTCAGTTTACCTCAGCATGTTTGTAATACTAAATGCAGCATTTGTTTTAGGTTCATGTCCATTAAAAATTTCCCATAGAGTCAAGAAAAATATAGCCAAAAACGACTTTTTACCCAACCACCCCTCCCCATAAATCCCCATAATGGCTTAGAAATAGGTATTGCATTGACAGTATAAACCCTTAGTAGGAAACCCCTCCCCCACCCCCACCCCCTCTCCCAAAAAGGACGCCTGATTTGTGACGAAGTCTTTTGATAATGTGTTTACACTTGAAACATACTTCGAAAACTCCCTGTTTCGAAAAGACAGTACAGGTAACCAGTTAATTATGTAGTCAGGCACCTTTACTCCGCCTTTACTTAGTACATTATATTGCCCGTGTGGAGCAGGGTACTTGACATACGAAACTGCCCGTGTGCTGAGTGTTGCGGCGCGTGATTAGTCAAAATGCGAGGTCGTTTGGGGATTTGACTAATGAGGACTGCGTACGCATGACATCGTATGTCATACACGTGCTTTCCAGCGGTGTCATTTTCGTGAGCTGGGCACCCGGAATAAACATCATTTTTGTGTGCTCCGACTACCTCGGATATTCAAGAGAACCATAGTTATAAAATAAAGGCAACTTAATAATGTAGCTTTTCATCAAATTGTCAACACATTCTGCCCAACTTCGTTTAGTATATGGGAAAAAAGGACAATTTTCACCGACCATAAATTCACTACAACAACGGTCATATTTCCTTCCCCATATTTCACAAAATAGTCGCTTAAAAACTTAATTAATATCATTTAAACAATTGGGCTATACCAGTTAAAAATTTTATTTCATATAAAATTTTACTTTTAAGGACACGTTAAGCGGAAAATGAATTTCATAAATTGATCTCAAGTGTGTTCGTGCATATACGCTGCAAATAAACGAAAACACCGTAGGGCATGCTGCGCGCTGGCTGAATACCCATCTGAAATTCAAGTATTTGTCAGTACCCAGTTCTTTGTACACAAGATGAGAGTTCACAAGGCAGCCATCCGTAAGAAGAGTTTCTTGTACCATCTGATGGACCTCCTGACCGAGCGGTGAGATGAGGCAAGTTGGTCTTCATTCCTCCGTCGTAGTCGATGATGCTATGGGGTCTCTCTATGGGCTTGTCGTTCGGATCACGCAGCAGCTTCCCCGAGTCCCCCATTGCAGCCGTACGTCTGGGGCGATAATTAACGCACTCGACTATCTGTTGAGTTCGTCGGGGAAGACATGATCGCAGTACATCGGATAACTGCGCCTTTACGTACATTGTACTTCGGGGCCAGTTTCGCAGAACCAGTTTAAGCACCTCCAATTTTCTGCTAAACACAGCAATTATTTACTTAGCACTAACCATAATGTCACGGAAAGAATGTTGCTCCATCGGCTGTGTGAAGCAATTAGCTTACCATATTATATGTGAGATGGGAAGATATCGACTCAAAAAGGGACACACAATAGAGACAGGTTGGAATAGTAAATTTAGACCAAGCTATTTATTTGTTCATGTTCTGTTTGCATTTTGACAATCGCTTGAAATTAATCTAAATGAAAGCCATAGTTTATTTATTTCCATAGATTGATTTGAATTTGTAAAAAATAAACAACGAAAAAACACGTAACATGTTAATTTCCGGTGACCTATTCCCAAAATTCTTTGCGACGCATGTGTTTCCTTTAGGCCTATAAGGGATAAGCCGACCGAGTAAAAAAAAATAGCTTCTCGTCCGGGATTTTCGAAATAATGAAGGAGGCGGGCGCTGCTTCCCGAGATGGCGGATTTTCCAAGATGGCTTCTTCCTTTTTCTCTACTCTTTTGTGTCCAAAGGAGATGTAACTCATTCTACATAGCTACCATTTTGTTGAAAACAAATAGAAGACAATATAAATGTATTTGTAAAATATATTGCAAATAATTATATGAATTTAAAAAAAACAAGGCGGGCAGGAAAAAAGGAACAGGGCGGGGACGAGAAACTGGTTTATTTTTTTACTTGGCCTTAGTAATAACCAGCACGTGATGATGTGGATGGGCGACTCTTTCTACTAAATTTGGTTGATTTCCACTTGAACGATAACTAATATATTACTCAAATCGTGGGCAGTGTGGCCTATAGTGTTTAGGGTTCGTGACTCTGACTCATGATCAGAGGCTCAGGGGTTCGAATCCAGCTGCTGGTCATATGCTGTGTCCTTGGGCAAGCCACCTCACCCCTCTTGCCTCTCTCCACCCAGGAGTATAAATGGGTACCGGCATTAGCTGGGAAGTAACCTTCGATGGACTAGCATCCCATCCATAGAAATATTCTCATTCGTTTCATGCCAAGGAAACCGGAGATGAACGCCGGCCTGATGGGTCACATTGGCTCGACGGTGACAGATGTCACTCTTACTTACATAAAGCACTCTTTAAAAACAAAGACAGCGTTCTTTTTTTGTAGGTTTTTAAGCATCTAAAGCTGATATTCTATAGCTGCTGTGTCTTATCTTAACCCGACCAGGCGTTGACGGGGCATTCCCGCCTTGGGTTCCTCCGTTTCACCACTTTGTATGTACACGCGTCCTCGTCTAGTGTCCTGACGCACTTTTTGTGGTTATAACCGACTGGGATTGGGACGCTGAAAGAACAAACAAAAATCAGTCAAAGGTAACACAGAAAAGATTCACCGCCTTGCAGTATGAAAGATTAAGAAATGTCATCCCCGTTGATTGACAAACGGACCAACAGACCAATAAAACATTTTGGCGGCCGGGCTTTCTCATCCCGACATGAGCCAATCACGTTGCAACCTGATGCTCAGGTCAAACATTTGTTTGTTATTCTTCATTAATTCAGACAGCACAATGTTTTCATATATTATTCAATTCAATTTGAATTTAACATCCATACTCATGGCCGTTACATGGTTCTGATCCCCGTAAAAACAAAGTATTATAGAAAACAAAATCAACCACACGTAAAAGTCCTATACCTGGCGGCTCGGAGTTGCCAATGACCTTTATACGCGAGGCTTGCACGGTCTAATAGCCATGTACAGAACTGTGTATAGCTTTCCATGAAAAAGCTAGATGGTAAAAAGAAAAATCATTTGATTCCAAAAGAAATCTTACTTGAAGCAGCAGCTGACTGATTTACCACTGCTCATGCAAGTGCAGTCGTAACACTTTGTCGAAGCACCAGGAATCTCGCCATAAAATGGGCCTGGTTCGCACTTCACTGAAAATAAGAACATAAAGATGACATTTTGACCCTCAAGGTGTCGATGAGTGAAAATGTAGTTCAAGTGAAGACTAGATTTTAAGTGACTTGCACAACGCCGCGCAGACTAGCTTAAGTATATAAATAAACTCTTGGTGGCAGCACAAGATGTATTTTCCATTGCGCATGCTCACGATGTAAGCATTTGTTTCCGTTTTGGTCCAAAAATATAATTTGATGATGCATTATAATTATCTTCATTAATCAATGTTCATAAACCATAAAGTTGTCCACAGCGTTCTAAATAATGTAGTGATTTACTTTTAGCGAAGTAGCACGACGCATTGGCTCCTGCCACGAGAAGCATGGTGCACACGATGACCACACCTAGCTTCGCCATTACACCTGAAACAAACAGATACAAAAACATGACACCAATTCAGTTTATCGTGAAGAATCGTACTATCTAAAAAAGTACGGCTCCCACTTCGCTTTGCAGGCCAGAGAGGGTCAGGCTAGACCATTTTCTACCTGTTTTCAAGGGCGGATCCAGAACCAAAACTGGGGGGCATTGTTTTAAGAAGGGGAAGGGGATAAAGAATTAGGTATCGTGCGAAATTCCACCTTGTAATATTGAAACTAAAAGGTATGTGTGGCTCATGGCTTGTGAGGGAGATAGGCAACGTTTTAATTTAAATTTATAAATACCTACGACAGTTAACCCATTCCTATTCGTCGAGAACCCGTTACGTGGCCGGTTTTAAACGGTTGTAAAAGACCGGCTGGCAGGTCTTAAAACTTTTCCAGTGTCACATGAAATTTGCACTCCTATGAATATTATATTATGAATATATTTTGGCTTTACCATAATATAGCTAGAGGGGTGTTTCGAAAATCATGAAGTAAAATTGTTGAACAAAATCGTTGGAAATATATAATTTTCACTTGTTTGACTTCTGGACCGAAAAGGTTAGATTTTTCGGCTCGAGTAATTATCAGCATCCAGACTCCAACCGGTCTTAAACAGAGTGTTTAAAACCGGCCAAGCCTTTGTTCCCTTATTAAAAATCGTTTGGGGGATGGCCGTCCACACACCACACAAATATTGGAATTTGTATCCTTGTGAAGTCATGTCTTTGTTCTCCTGTACTAAAATTTTAAAGTTTGAAAGGGTAGTTACAAAATGCTCCTAAAATTTCCTGTGCTGAATTTCGGACTTAATATCCCTTAGGCCAAAAAAAGTCTCCGGTTTCTGGTATGCGCGTGCGTCGCCTTAGCCATGCGCGTCGGCAATTTTTTTTTTTTTTTCCAATGTAAGGTGATGTCTCAAAACCGCCAAACTCTCTGTTTTGACTGGAATCCTGCTGCTGCACAATTTTGACGTGTTTTTAGAGGGGGGTTACGATCGAGTATAAGCTTAATGTGGCCTCTCTGGATTCCCATATATTTTGCACTAAATTTAGTTGGGCACCATTTGCAGACTGTGTTGTAATGTTGTAATTTTGTAATTTTGCGTCTGGAAGCCAGACTGACGGAGCGATGGTTGTGTATCTGGAACCTGTAAACACTTTTAATTAGCTCAATATGCTTCTCAAGCCTTATGACCTTACTGAGGTCACCTCAAGCTGCACTCTGATGATATTTTGAGAGTTTTAAAGGGGATCGACTCGTCAGCTGCAACATCAGCCGAAATTTGAAGAGAAAAAAGTCAATCCCGGGATTTTATAGGACTTGAAATTCAAAAACTATCAAGTGAGGAAACGGGATAAAATTGATGTTTTCTGGGAAAGTAATTACATTGGGGAGTTCTTTCATTAAGGGGAGGAATTTCGGGGATTCAGTAATGCAATTTTTATGAGCATATAGCGAGGAACATGTGGCGTCGGTTTACACCTGACCGAGTTCGCCCACTAAAGCCGGCGATGCGCAAAACAAATTAAACACAGTTCATTGATTTAAATGGTTATGTTGGAATTCATTATTACACCGGTTGTTCACATAATATCAACATCCTCTGAACCTTCATTTTCAGGACGTGAACGGCACTTCACTTCAGCAATTATTTGAGATGATTTTGATTAATTTTTTTAAAATGGTTAAGAAATATGTGTGAATAATTGTCTCTTATATAAACAGAGCTGGAGACCTACCCTCATATTACAAAGACGGTAAATGATCTCCTCGACTTGTTGTTTCATTGGTCGCTAGGTACAGTTATATGATTCATATGTGAAAATAATTCCTGCTTATGTAGCAGAAAATTCCGTGCTTACGGTTAGCGTTTTTCACGGGTTAGCGATGAATTTTGGCTTATGCACATAGCCCTTTGCGTATCCCGTAACTGAGGATTCTTTACTTACATGGTTAGCATAGAATTTACAGAGATCAGTGCTGAGTGGTGCTAAATGTAACAGAATTCTGCCCCTACGGTCACATTAAATACTAGCAGCGCTAAGAACTGTTTTTTTTTCGCTAACCCAGTAAGCACAGAATCCTTTAGTTACAAGACGTAACGTCTAAAATGGGGGGAAAGGTATCGTACTCAGTAGCCTTTGTACAATAATTAAAGTACGACGTTCTTACTATTTTTTTCTAAGTTTTAGACATTAAAATACATATAGGCAAACCCCCGCAAACCTTGCATTTGGATTCTTTGTCTCGACAATTAGGCCTATACTTCCAATCTTAAAAATATCCTACAATTTCTTTTAAAAATCAAATGCAAAGCAAAAGAAAATTTGCTTCTTAAAAAAAAAAAATTGGTAGTTTTTTTTATACACAACAGAACAGATTTATTGCAATCACTATCATGTACCAGTGCCTTACCTTTTGTTGAAATCAGATGATGTCCAAATATATCAGCCAAAAAAAAAGCTCGGCAGCTATGTTTCAGTTCGTCCTCCTTGTCCGCTTCCTACTCTATCTGTTCATGCATAAACCACCAACGACACCTTTATATATGACACATCCGTCACATGATCAAATTTGTTAATCTTTTTTTTTATATTAATGAAACCAAAGTTCGGTGTCACAATTAAGGCAACATTGCAGTCTGGTCCCACGGGATTAAACAGTCACGCCAGGGCGCCCTCGCGTGAACTCGTGTATCCCAGCGATGCAGACGTAAACTCAACGACAGATGTTGCTCTATGCTCTCACAAGATTTTTCATTAATCACAAACGAACAGTCATTTATCTTACACACCCATCTTAATTGGGTTCGTCTGCCTGTGGCTTTGGCCGCCTCAATAAAAACGTCAAAGTCGATTGTCATTCCTGTACCTTCACAGCCACCTATTTTATTTCAATTAGACAGATGCTGCTGTTTATTAGCCTGAATTAATAACATTTCACTCCATGGATGGTGGGTTATGTTGGCTTCTAAATGCCAAATGATGCAAAATTGAGTGCTGCATTTTGTGGAATGTGGTAAAAGTAAATTGAGAAGAAATTGGAAAAAGTCTAGCTGTCTACATATAATTTCAAACACCTGTGAAATCAATCATAAACAACTGGGAACAAGATTATGTTTAAAGCATAATGTACAAAATGTACAGTCATTGTGGAAACATCATGCAAAACTATTTAAAGTATTGGCCGCATTAGCATAAATGTAGGCCTACTGGGACGAAGTATTCAGTGGCGTAGCCACGGGGGTCGTGGGGGGCGACAGCCCCCCCCCCCATGAAACCTTGAAACCCCCCAGTCGCCCCCCCCCCTGAGATTTTGAGTTTCTAAAAAAAATTATCATTGATCAACATGACGCCCCCCCCCCCCCATTCAATGTTACAGCCCCCCCCCCCCCCCCCCCCCCCCCCACTGAAAAATTCCTGGCTACGCCACAGTAACTGGAAGTATTCAAATATGAATGTTTAGTTGGCGTGACTAGTTGCTTTTGGCCGTGTTCGAATAGCTTGGCTGGGGTCGTAAGTGAGACCAGTGGGGGGGGGGGGGTGCAGAGTGGCAGAATTCGACGGGAAAAGCAGATTTTCATAGTAGACTCGGGACTCTGATAGAAGCAAAATCTGGACTGCGAAAATGGATTTTGAATGCAAAATCGGAAAAATCGTTAAAATCGTCATGCCGTCGGCAAAATCGTGGATGGAGAGCGCCACTGATTGTTCGATAGTGAGCATAATCATCCGCTTTGAACAGCGCCCATATTTGAAGATGGTGTCTAGACTGCCCCCGCCCCACCTTTACGGGGGCCGGGTTACCTGTCCACCTTTTGGCATCAATGCTCTGTCAGCAAATTGGTTGCCCCCCCCCAAGCGGCCAGCCGGCCCGCCCCATTCAAAGTGGTCTCAGCGGCATTCGATCCTAATACTGGACTTTTGCAATATACCCAGTTACACGACTGAATGACACCTTTTTTTTCTAGCCACAGGGTGAGAGAGAAAAAAATAAACCCAAACCAAAGAACATATTTTTTTTTAAAGAAAATGTGGCACTGAAAATAATTTTGTAAGCCAATTAAAATAATAAATAAAAAAAGGAACTTCAATTGCTCAATCCGTTCAAAATATTTATACCACTAATTAAACAAAATGACCCTTAAATCTGTTTCGTGCAATGTGATTTCAAGAATTGTCGTTACAATCGTCTTCAAACATCACCAGCGATAAAACCCTCAGTTTAAAATTTAAAAACATTCAACAGAGTCCTTTTGAAGTCCCGTCTTTAAAGAATAGTATTTTTTTTTTCATCTGAAAATAGTTTAGTACATGACCGGTAATAATTATTGTGCTACATTTCTTTAAATATGACTCCGTACGTAGGGAGGTAAGGGAGGTAAGGGAGTCCACTGTGCTTGATTAAGATAAATATTTTGTTTTCCTAAAAAAAATGAGTTTTTAGGAATAAGTGGGATATATGGAAGTGAAGCCAGCAATGTCAGTGTTCCCTTCAAGGTGATAAATAGGGAGCTGCATTTTTTTCTTATTCACAACCATTGATTTGCTCTTTATGCAAATATATTCACGGTCAGTATTCATGGCAAAAAGAAAGCGGCGAATATTCCTTTTGAAAAAAATGTAGCCCGGTAGATTATATGGTGAGTTTTATTGGAAACTTATTTTGATTATATATTTTTTCGGTATAACTTTGAAAAACTCACATAATGGAAAATTTGGAGATTTTATGCCACCATAGCGCTAGAATAATATGTTTGTAAAATGTCGCCAACATGCGAAGATTAGTGGGTGTGTCACACTGCGCATGTGCAGCAAGTAAGCCCGTAAGTGTCTACACAGGCAATAGGCTATGAACATGCAGATTGTATTTGTTGGTGTTAATCAAGGACACACTCGACGGGCACCCACCACTTGGTGGCCAAATCTTGCTTACAAGTCATGCATGATTCATGGTGACTTATTAGCAAGATTTATTGATGGATGACATTTGCGCTTAGAAATACATGCAAACCCTTCGGGGATGAATCACTGATAGTTTCACGTCTTGAAGACGAGCTTTCGGGTCTTATTCAACCGAAACAGGTAGAAACTATTGTTACAGTTGCTCTACAGCTTCAAGGTAACCAATCTTGTTTTCATCTTCCACTGTGAAGAATTCCCAGTTGGTGTCACAACAAAATCCTTTTTTTCCCTCTTGTTTTGCACGCACCTCGGTACTTGGAAAGTAGACCATCCCTTCTAATAAACATAGTCGAGTGGTAAAGTTTCAAACCAATGAGAAACCGGTATTGTTCCCGCCCGTAAAAGCGCGCCACTAAATTAAAGAGCGTTTGGCGTTTGGTGCATGCACATAACATTGTATACACAGGGACATGTTCTTGCATACCTTTCCCTTTTATTTATTTATTTATTATCGGGCAAACAAGATAGAAATATTAAAAACAAACAGGCCCGAGGATTTCCCAAAAGCGAAACAAATCACTATTTAAAGGGATTTCCAGACAACAGATAAAATACAAACAGTAAACAAATATACTCACATATACATAAATAGACAAAAAAAACATTGACATAGGACAATTAAAGTAACTACGTTCGAGCACAGTGGCGTTTCCATTAAACAGAGCTTGCTGGCTTGTGGAGTCTCAATTATGCGCCGCAGCACCTTGTAAACCCTTATAAGTTGCAACATAATGGGTCTCATAATGTTCATATACTTCATTTACCTGGCTTGGTTGCATTCTCCCCCAGCGCTTTGTATCCTCTGGCAAAAAGCGCTATATAAACACAGTTATTATTATTATTATTATTATTATTATTATGTTTATTACTACTATTACTGTAATAGGGCGACAGGTTTGCGAACTCCGTCCACAATAGGGGGATACACCTTATTGAGGCGACAAAATAACTGTCGCCCTTTTATGAAAACGACCCTTAGGACAAGGAATTTTGCTGTCGCTAACCATCTAGATCGATTCCTCATGGTCCAATTAGTATAAATACTAAATTTCGTGGAAAAAACATAAGGTAAACTTGGGTTAGGTGACAGTTTAGGTTTGAGCCATCAATAATGAGTCCATTATCAGACCCACTTGGTGGGGAATAGCGGTACCGCACAAAAAACAGCGGTATCGCTATTATCACCGGCGATTTAAAAATGAGACTCTCCCTAAAAGCTACATTGAGTGGGCGCTTATTGTGGGGCGTCTAAAATATTTATGCTATATATTCAAGGTCAAACAACTAAACTAAGGCCTGTATGATATCTTACGCCTTTCCAAAAACATATCGGAGCTGTCTACACAAGCAAAACTAAAACAAAAACAAACAACAAATGTGAAAGTTATTGCTGTATTTTTTTGACAGAAATGTATTTTACAGTCAGTGAGCAATATAGTAATATGTTCCACCGAAGGACCTCGCGTCTTATCTTGGCCGTACTCTTTCATATCGCGTTGGATATGGCAATCTTTTTACTGCCTGTACGAGGAGAGATGTGTAGCGCCATGATCGAGGCTGCAGCCGGTGATGATCTTACCACGCTCCGTGACAAGACATTCGCGGCGTTCAGAAACGAATGTCGGCTGAACAAAGACCAGCTCGATGAGAATGATTGTAAGTATTTAATCCCTCAAATTTTTTTATCTACAAAGTTGGTCTTAACTTAAGTAAGTATGGTGCATTACAAATTGCTAGACTAGTGACTTTCCAGAAAAAGTGAAAACGTATGAACGATTATTGGAGTCTAGTCGCTAATGACGAGAATGTAAAAAATGTCCCCTTAGTACCCTTAAAAAAAATAATTTTCATTTTTTTTCTTCCAAACGATACTGGAATAATTAAGCCGGAAAATGTTCACATGGTAGTTGGTACCGGTACCATACATCTTTACGTTGAACACGTTTGTTTTCTTCTTCATTAAATTGATACGGTGGTTTCCGGGTATTGTGCTAAATGCTGACAATCACTTCAAACTTATTCAATAACAAATTTGCATGTCAGATATATTGATTAGAATTGGGTGCCGTTTCAATTTCGACGTACACAGCTTGCTCAGTCATCACCGAGGGGCATTCGAGTCACTTGAAATTCAATATCAAGCCACTCAACATGCCTTTCCGGCTGGACTTAGCCTTGTTCAATGCGGTCTCTCGGCTTTTTGTCGAAGGGAGATAATCGGGCCCTAGCACCCACAATCAACGCGGCTATGTGCGTGTACCGCCGACCCTTGTCCGTACGAACGGTTCGGTACTAACAGTGTTCATTCGTTTTGAACGTACGCAGGACGGGCATTTACGTCTCAGCCAATGAAAAGCTTTGCTTGCCACGCTCCACCCACAGTTACCGCCCACCATGACCGTCTACGCCTTACTTGTATTATTCAAATTGTTTGCTGCTTGTATTAACCATGATAACAGTACAAGAGGATTCCAAGTCGTTGAGCGGTACAAATATCAACATAACAAAACAACATTCTAAGTGGCAGGATCGGGAAC